GACCCAGAAAGATATTAACCTAATTGCTATTTGTACCACTATTCGTGACAATTACGGATCATCGGACCATTGATAGCAGTAAGAAAATCAATATTAACTAATTTGTCAGACTAATTAACATTAACATCCATAGAGAATAAGCACAAGAATCAACGAATACTTGAAAAAAAGCAAGAACTTGAATTAAATACTGAACCTCACGATGACACAATCGCACATCCCCCCTTGAACCAGAAAAGAAAAGCTTAACTGCTCATGATTTTCGAATCCTCCATGCTCTGCTTCTTAGAAGGCCGAATTGATCTTTCTTGATTGATCGAGTTGCTTGATGCTTGATTGATGGAATTTTTTGATTGATTAAGTTGCTCCTAAAATTTCTGTGTGTGTGTCTGATGTAATTGATATTATGGATATTTACATATGATTCTGTCACTCATTACATTTTGCATATTGTTAATTAACATCTATAATATTTCTCTAGGTAAAAACCATTAATGGAATTTTAATATTGCAGTAAAGAAGATGCTGGAATGAAAACTGCTAAGCTGAGAGATGAGAAAGAGGTTCAGGATAGACAACAACATGCTGATATTGAAGCTGAGAAAAATTTGGATGAAAATCTTCAACAGTTGAGAAATCGGGAGCAAGAGCTGGAGTCACAGGAGGAACAAATGCAAACACGACTTAAAAAAATTGTTGATGCACTTGGGAAGCATGAGGAAGAGCTCAAGCGAGTTAAAAAGGATCTATCTGCAATGCAAGATAAGCATCGAGAATCTAGGTCGGTCTAATAATTGTTTGCACATTTATTGCTAACATCTAGCTTTCTAACTGTAATGGACTTTCCTTGTTTTGGAAACTGAACTGGACCACAATCCAGTTCAATGGAAACCTGCTGGTTCTGGCACTTTTGATGTTGAACCACTTTCATCATCATCCATGCTTTTCCCAACTATATGGGGTTGGCTACATGAACCCTGTTTCACCCGTCCGTTCTATTTAATGCCATATCCAAGTTAGGATCAAATTTCATGTGAGTTTAGCAAGAGTTTTAGTGCTGGCTGCCAACCTGCTGCACCCTCCTACTTAATCTGGGCTTGGGACTGGTGGTGCAAGACAAGCTCACACTGGCGGAGTTAAAAACCAAACACTTTCTAGATTTCAAAATGTTGGTTTACACAGAACTATTTGATGGTTGACTGGTGCAATTTTATCCATCTGCTTCTCCTATTCCATGTACTTTCTAATCAAAGTGAATTCTTCTCTTATACAGGAATAAATATGAATCTTTGAAGTTAAAGATTTCTGAAGTGGATGATCAGTTGCGTGAACTGAAGGCTGATAGGCATGAAAATGAACGGGATGCCAGGTTGTCCCAAGCTGTTGAGACTCTCAAGCGCTTGTTTCCAGGTGTTCATGGTCGTATGACTGATCTGTGTAGGCCAACACAGAAGAAGTATAATCTTGCTGTTACAGTTGCAATGGGAAAATTTATGGATGCTGTAGTAGTAGAGGATGAAAATACAGGAAAAGAATGCATTAAGGTACATATGGTCTTCTTATCATGTATAAGCTGTTGCTCTGTGCCAAGGTTCATTTCCTTTCTTCTGTTCTTTTTTTTTTTTTTTGTGTTGCAAGAGAATGAACACACATACTAGGGAAAAAGCTAATTTCAGGTGAACCATGTTGTGCATTAACCTCATCAAACGAATGAAGGTTGGGGGTCTTGAAGGACCCTATTTTGGGATGTCAATGCATTCAAGACCGGGGGGGGGTGTTACAGAGGAGATTTGTTGGAAGGGAAGTTGAGGACAGGACTTCTGAAGGTTTTATGATGGGAGGTTTTTGGCAAATGAAGGGATGGGAGGCAGAGATGAGAAGGAAGGAGCAAGAAAGGAGGTGAGGGCGGTTAATCTGGACGTGAAGTGGAGCATGGGCATAATGGCTGCAAGGAGATAGAGGTAAAAATGTACAAGTGAAAAAAGTAATATGGAACGAAACTATTTATAGAGTTTGAAGAGAGTGAAAATGAAGTTGGAAACATTAAGGCTGAAGATAATGATGATAACTTGAGTGAATCTTTAGTGGAAGATGATGTGAATATAGAGGTGGAGGTCAGAAAATCTTTGGGTTTGTTTTTTCTTGAAGGAGAACTTTCAAGGAATTGGAAGAAAAATTCATTAGGTCTTTGAAGGGTTGGGAGAATAACAATTTGGTTCATGAGGTGGCTTGTTGTAATGTAAAGAGTGTTGATAATCCAAATAGACTGAGGTCAGCTGGAGTTGAAGGGGATGGGCTTGAAGATAGTGGTTAGGTGGCAGTGGGTCAGATTTTGAAAAGAATATGCTCTTGGAGTTGGAAAGGATCAATGCTAACCCTATGGAACCAATGGCCATTGAGAAATTCCTGATAGATGCTTCAGAAGTCAGAAACCACTGAACTGTTCAGATGTGAAAGTCTTTTTTTTTCCAGATTGAAGATGGGATTATTTGGGGTCTGGCCCATTAAGAAAGTAAAGAAAACAAAGAAAATTAATAAGAGAAGTAAAGAGGTAGTAAAGAGGTCTATGTTCAATTGTTCGTAGAAGCTGAGGAAGCGGGTAATTCTGTTGGGAGGTTTGATGATTTTGTTGACAGTCTGTTGTAGGTTAGTTCGTTTGAATTGGAGGTGTGAGTTTAATTTGTGTGTTTTTGTCTGGGGTTTTATTCTTTTTTTTGGGCTTTGGAAAGATTGTTTAGAAGAGGGAGGTGGGTTCTGGGTTTTTTTCTTTTCTCATCTATGTGGACAATATCTTATCACCTATCTTGTACCTATCTTTTTTATTTTCAATAGATTTTATTTTTTATTTTTTACCAAAGGAATGTCAATGCTGTGGGCCCAGATGATGGTGGTGCAGGTGTAGTTCCTAAGTAGCAGAGGAGTTCAAAATTTGAACCTTCTGAGGTGTGGGATTTTGGTGATGTTAAAGTCTGAAACCTTTGGATCTCTCTTGGGTCCTGTTCGTTTTTCGGTAAGTTACCTGGGTAAGTTTTTCCTGGGAAACACTTATCCGGATAAGTAAATTTACCCATGTTCTTTTATTTCTCATGTAAATAAGGTAATGACCATTTTAGCCATAAAAATCCATTATTAAAAGGGGCATTTTTGTCCCATTCAAGTGTTGGCAACTTTCCCCCTAGGTGGGAAAGTTTTCCCTGGTCCCCACATAAATCTGAAAAAAGAACATGGGATTCTTGGTCAATGGGAATTAAAATCCCATTGACCAACTTTCCCCTCTCTCAAAATCCAAAGAAAGAACACCCCCTTGATGTTGTTGCAATCAATCAATTCAATAGGATGAATCCTTTCCTGGTCTTGGTTCTTCTTCTGGTTTGGTCTAGGGAGCATATTGGTGATTGGTGTGAAAGATGATCATCTAATGATCATATCATGTGCAGTTAGTTTCTTTAAAAAAAATGATCATATCGTGTGAAAATCCCAGCAAAATAGGTAGTGAAATTAAAAAAATTTATGCCACACTCAATTCTGAAACTGCACACTAATTGAGAAACCAGAATTTTCTCCTCTGGTATACATCAAATATTTAGAAATTTATGGGCACTCTATGTGTACCTTTACAATATTGTATCTTGTTTTTGTAGAGTTTGACCATCTGTTTTAACTTGTATTTGTGCATCATTTTTAATAAATAAAAGTAATTTCATTAAAACCACCAGACTACACAGAAAAGTGCAGAAGGTGAAAGGGAACAAGACTCTCACCCCATAAGGATCAGATGACACAATTAAAGATCCCTTTACTTAATACTGTAATCTTCTAAAAAATTGAAGCCTCGATAGAAGCTACTTCTTATTAAAACAGATTGAATATAAAGAATCTGTATGTTTTCTATTTTTTGTTTCTATATTTATTTCCAAAAATATATTATGGCTGCATTTATTTCAATAAAAAATGGATGGAAAATTTTCAGGCTGAAAATGTCTGAGATAATCTTATCCATTTTATGATGAAAACATTGTTTTACTTGCAATTTACATCAAAACAAATTACTAGGGGGCAGGGGAAGAAACAAAGCTTTTGTTATAAAGGGTTGGGAATAATAGTTGAAATGTTTAAGCCTAAAAAAGTTTTACATCCCATAATGAAATAAAAAAATGCCTAAGAGGGAAAAGTTTCCTTTCTTTGTCTGTGTTGCCCTGGCAATTTTAGCATTTTCTTGTCAACGTAGTTAGTATTAAATTGATAACAGTATGCAGTTTTGTAGCCTTGGCTCCGTAATTGTGGATTTCATGTTAATTACAATCTCAATTATACAATGTGCTTAAGTGATAAAAAATATTAACCCTATTTATTTTCTTCAGTATTTGAAGGAACAAAGGCTTCCTCCTCAGACGTTTATACCCCTGCAATCAGTGCGTGTAAAGCCAATAATTGAGAGGTTGCGTGTGTTAGGTGGAACTGCGAAGCTGATCTATGATGTGATCCAATATCCTTTTTTAATTGATTGGTGATTTGGTTCTGCCCGTGAAAATTTTGCAATATGCATACTGGGTTTGATGCCTACATTTTTATTCTTTTTGATAATTAATTGTTCTCTATTTTATTAAAATAAAAAAGAAGTATTAGTATGCTTTCGTAGAGATAATCACACATTTTTGTTCATGCATTGGATGGAAAGTGGTGTTAAAATTCCTTTTGATCTTATTTGGTAAAGCATAGTTGAATATGTATAGGCACAAGAACCAAACTGTTTGCATGCATATATCATGCCAATGTTGAACATTCATGATTTATCGGACCATGAGCTTTTGAATTCTTGGCTGCCAGGTTCTCTCTAGTAATTATCTGAATGATAGAAACAGTTTTACATGATTTCTTCTGCCCTATTTGTGATGTATGGATATTGTAAAGATACACAACATCTTTCATCAAGACTTGGTGTCATCATTCAGCACCTCTAAATGGAGTTCGGTTGGTCTACAAACAAAGTTGAGCAAATTGTGGTACGGGTCCTATCAAGAGTGAACATGCTAATGTTCCTTACACATGAGGCCCACTTTTATGCACACATTGTCCATTTGTTTTGTTGGAATAGGCGCCTGGAATTGGGCCCATTCTGATTCCAACCGTTTGTTTGGTTGGAATGGGATTCCAATTCCCATTCTTGGCGGAATTGGATTCCCCATATGGGGGAATGGGCCATTCTAGGCTCCTTTGAGGGAATAGGATACCCCCAAACCTAATATTAATAAAATAATAAAATATTATTAAATTAATAATAAGATCATAATAATAAAATATTAATCATAAAATAATAAATATTATGAAAGTAATAATAAGATAATAATAAAATAAGAATCTATTAATAATTAAAATAATAATCAAATATTAGTAAAATATAAATAAATTAATAATAAAAAGCAAAGATATTTATTAAATAATAATAAATTAATGTTAAAATAATTTTATATTAATAAGATATTCATAAATTAATGATAAATACTAAGGTATTAATTATTAAATACTAATAAAATAATAAAAACAAAGTGCAAATGAAATATTAATTATACATTCATAAAATATTAACAAAGTAATTATAATTAAGTACAAATAAAATTTTAATATAATATAATGAAAGTAAAAATCAAATACTAACATACTAATTATTAAATAATAATAAATTAATTTTAAAATGATAAAGAAAAAATAATAGAATATTAATAAACTAATGAGAAAATATTAATAGAACATTTATTAATAAATATAATAAACAAATATTATTAAAGTAATAATATATTAATAAAATATTAGTAAATTGATGATAAAGACTAAGATATTAATTATTAAATAATAATAATAAAATAAAAATTATATATTCATAAAAATATTAATAAAGTAATAATAAAATAATAAATAGACTAATACAAAATTGAAAAGTTTTAGTTGATTCCGATTCCAACTCCAAATGAACCAAGCAACAACAATCAGAATCCGAATCCGGTTATGATTCCCAACTGAACCAAACAGGCGTCAAGAATAGGTGATTCCAATTCTGATTCCTGGGGATTTTGATTCCAATTTTCAATTATGATCTTGTCTGTGAACCAAACAGATCCATAGAAACACTGGCGTGTTCACTCTTGATAAGTCCTGCAACCAGGTGTTCAGGATTGTGTGTAACTCATCCTATTCCCTCTAAATGTTAGATTACTGGGTACAACTAGGCAACTAATTAGTGCCTTCATCTTGCAACTAGTTGTATGGGCCCTGTTTGTGATAGGATATGGTGTAGGTTCTTGGTTTATTGGGTGCGGCCTGGCACGGACATTTGGGGGATAGGTAGGGGTGGATTTGAGCCGAGCCGAATATATAGCTATTCGAACTCGGCTCACCAATAAAGTACGAGGCTCAAGCTCGAGAGAGACTTGAGTTCGAGTTTGACTTGAGTCAAAAGCTCGTATGCTTAGTGATTTAAATGGTGTGCCTAGGTGCATAGGCGAGGTACATTTTAGGGTAGGTGCCTCGCCCAGGTCCTAGGCACAACACTTTCAAAAGGCACACGCCTGGTGCACCTAGGTGTGTGCCTCCTGATGGGCCTTGTACCTTAGCCCAAACGTGTGCCTTTTGAAAATTTTACATTCTTTTTGCTTTTTTTGAACCAAGAGGTTGGGTCCGGGGGCGGACCACGCCTCTCAAGGCAAGCCCAAACTAGCCCATGTTAGTGTCTTAAATTCTTAATTTTCACAAAAAAATAATGATTGTATATTTTTAATTACCTTTTAAGAAGATATTTTACTAAGATGAATGAATGAACAACATTAGCAAATAGGGGGTTCTCGTAAAATAAGGAATGTAATATGTTTTACATTTCATTAGCTACTTGAAGTAATGCAATTGAGGAAAAAAAGAGATTGTGGGTTTTACATGCGTGAAAATGTTTTATATGCTTGATTTTATTTTTAAATTTTCATTTGAATACACTATACATGTTATGTTTATGCATTTTAGTTTTAGATAATAGGTTTTTAAAACATTAATTTTAAAATTTAAGTTTTTATTTTTATTAATATCATGTTTAATATTTTTTTTTTGCATTTTTTTGCGTTTTTTGACTATTTTTTTTCATTTTTTTTTGTATTTTTGCGCCTTGCTTCAAAAAGGCACGCTCCTCACCTTGCACCTTGGGCACAAATTGGCCCTTGCACCTTTTTTTGCGCCTTGCGCTTTTAAAACATGATATGCTCGAGCTCGGCTCGACTGTGAACCAAATGTTTTATAAAAATTAAAATTTATACATATAAAATATTATTTTTTATTTAACATTTAAAAAATTAAGAATTATAAAAACTAGTTATTACTATTATATATAAAAAATAAAATACTATGTTTAACATTTTTATTTTTAATTTATGTATATATATTTATATATATTATTTTTTATATGTATAATATTTTTATATTTATTATTTTTTATATGTATAATACGCACACACACACATGTATACATATATATATGTATGTACACACACACCACACACACACACATATGTAAAAGCTCGATTAGGCTTGCAAGCCTCGCTAACTGAGCTTTATTAGGCTCGAGCTTGGCTTGATTAGCAAACGAGCCTATTATTGGGCTTGAACTCAGTTTAGACCGAGCTGAACCGAGCTTTTGATGAGCCGAGCTCGAATAGCTCGTGAAAAGCTTGGCTTGTGGCCACCCCTAGGGATAGGATTGCATTGACCCTGCCCTTTTAGGTGTTTAGGCTAGTTTGTATGTTTACAATGGCCTTTTGTTTGTTTGGAAAGGAAACAATTGGAGACTGTTTGAGAATTTGGAAGGGCCATGGTGGTGTCTTTGTATGTCAGTGGTCTCTTGATGTATTGGATCATCATCATCATCATATGGGGTCTGCACATGAGTCCTGTTTCACCATTCTGTTCTGTTTAATACCATATCCGTTGTTAAATTATGGGCACTTAAGGGTCCATTTGGTTCGCAGTTGGAATCAGAACCAAAATCTTTTGGAATTGGAATCAGAATGGTCTCCCATAGTCTATTTGGTTCAGACAGGAATGGGAATGAGAATTGGAATAAGCAGGAATGAGATTTCATTCCCAAGGGAGGGGCAGGGAATGGCCATTCCCTCAAATGGGGGAATGCCATTCCAGTAGGAATGGGAGTGGGATTCTGATTCAACCAAACAGTTGGAATCAGAATAACCAAACGGGGCCTACATCATTTCTAACTACTTCGACTCAGGTCCCTTTTGGTCTACCCTAGCCCTTCTAGCCCCTTCAACTCTTGATGGATTGGTTGGATACTTCCTCTAAATGAGTTAAAGGGATTAAAATGTATAGGTTTTGTTTATAGTTGGTTTAATGTGTTGAATGTAGTGGAAGGTAAAATTCATTTTTTTGCTCTGGGCCTGTTTTGCATATCTCTTATGCAAACATTTTATACATTAATAAAATTGATTGATTATTCATATGAAGATGCTACCATCTCATCTAAAATGGATTAGCAGAAAGAATTGTGTTAAAAATATTATATAAAAGAATTGATGTGCAATTTGATTAAAGTTGCAGAAAGTAAAGAATATGTAATACCTTTGTAAACCTTAATGACAACACCTTCGACCCAGCTTTGGAGAAGGCTATTCTGTATGCTGTTGGAAATACACTAGTATGTGATGATCTAGATGAAGCTAAGGTTCTTAGCTGGAGCGGGGAGAGGTACAAAGGTAAATGCTTATCTAATATGCATGGGGATTTTATGTTTATATCTTTTTTTACAAATCAGTCAAAGCGACTGTTTTGATTGTATTCAGTTGTAACTGTTGATGGCATTCTCCTTTCAAAGTCTGGCACTATGACTGGTGGTACTAGTGGCGGAATGGAAGCAAGGTCAAAACAGTGGGATGATAAGAAAATTGAAGGTTTGTGTTGTGGCTCTTTTTTAGCCCTTTATTGTAATCAAATAAGTGTTAACTTTTTTCCTTTTCACAGGTCTTAAGAAAAACAAAGAACGATATGAGTCGGAAATGGAAGAGCTTGGATCAATAAGGGAGATGCAGATGAAAGAGTCTGAAGCATCTGGAAAAATCAGTGGACTTGAAAAGAAAATTCATTATTCAAAGATTGAGAGGGTAAATTAAATTCTTTTATAGACCTGCAATTCTTTTTTAATTTGCATGCTTTTAGATAATTGGAGATAGCTAACTTGCATTCATGGTGAACTTATTAATTTCAATTGTAATTCCATTGTGATCACTTTCTTATTATAGTGCTTTTAACTTGTTGAGCATTTAAATTCTACAACTTAGAGTATCTCCTTTTTCAGGACTTTAGTTTGGAAGGGATGTATATCTTACTAGATTACCAAATACCAATTTGTTGTAGAAACCTGAATTTAAAGTGCTTCAACAGGGAAAAGATGCAATTGAGCTAAGAATAGGTGCCAAGTCCATAAATCAAGGATGTTTTATTGGGTGCATTTTCAAGCTTAAGATCATCCAGTATGCATTCCCCCTATTTAGTATGAAATTATGAATATAATTCAGATTGTTACCCTTCAGAAGAAACCACTTCAGTAGGTTATTTTTTAAAGGTGGAACTTTGTACTTGAGAGTTGAAAGTCAAATGAATCCACTGCTACTACTACACTTGTGGCTTTGTTAGTGTTACTGCTGCTACTACTACTACTACTACTACTATTGTTATTGTTATGTTGGCGTTTTTCTGAATCCTCGTTTGTAAAAGCTAAAATGCTATATAGCACTGTGGGTATTGATATCCTTTACAATTTTTTGTATACATTCTGGATTCTGCAATTAATGCAGTTTATGAACTGCTTTTTTTACTTATAAAATCTTTATTGCAGGACAATATTCAGGAGAAGCTTTTGAAATTGAAGCAGGAAAAGCTAAATATCAAAGAAGAAATTAATCATATCGAGCCTGAGCTTCACAAAGTGGGACTGAATTACTGGTGTTTATACTTTATGTTACAGAATTCATATACATATTAGGTGGATACTAGTTGACATCATGGGTTTGTTCTGTTGGCAGTTAAAAAGCCTAATTGCTAAAAGGAAGACAGAAATTGGGAAGCTTGAGAAGAGGATTAATGAGATTGTGGACCGCATATACAAGAAATTCAGTGAGTCTGTTGGAGTAAAAAACATTCGTGAATATGAAGAAAATCAGCTCAAGGCTGCACAACAGATGGCCGAACAAAGGCTTAGCCTCAGTAACCAGATGTCAAAATTGAAATACCAGTAAGTTTTGGTTTTTCTTAATCAGTTCTTTTACCTTTTGCAGTTTACTTGATCATGTTTTTTAGGGTCAGGCACAAAAATGATCATTTGTGATGATATTTGGAATTCTCTCACATGGCATGGATGTTTAATAATTTTTGCTTTTTTGATCAGTAACACTAACTTTATTAATGATAAGAAGAATGTATAAGCTGTAAAATAGGTGCCAAATACATGCACACCACTCCACCCTTGGTAGCCCCAGCTACCGTCCCAAGTACAGAAATTTCTATGCAATTTAATCCCTTGGACCTTCATTGACCACCCCCAGTACATGTCTGTTCTGTTTACCCCATACTTTTCTAACCTGTCCGGCAAGCTGTTTCCTTCCCTTTGGATCCATCAGATCTGAACCCTCAACTCCCTTATCAGGTTCTTGATCTCTCTTAGTAAATTTCTTGACCTCCATTGTTCTTGAATTTCATTCAACAGACAGTTCACTGTAATGCTAGAATCACCTACTGAGAGATTGCTAAGATTGAGTGATCCTGTCAGCCTTAATCCATACAGGAATACTATCATTTCTGCTTTCAATATCTCTCCCTGTCCTATTGGGCCTGAGTATAGTGCCAGTCTGTCCTGCTGCATCCCTTGTATAACTGCACCAGTGCCTGCTCTCCTTGCACTTCTCTTTCTACTTCCATCAAAATAACTTCCACTTTTGGAGTTGCCTTTTCTGTTTTGGAAAGCATAACTATTGTGAAAGTGTTTGTAACATCTTTGCAATGGGATCCTTTGTCTGTGAAAGCATTTTGTTTCTGCTTCTGGGTGGAAGTTGTTGAGGAAACTTGATATTTGCAACTTTCCTATTACAGATGCTTGATAAATTCTCATTGCTTTACTCAGTGTATATTTAATTTGATTTGCTATCTGGTGCCTTGTAAAGAGCAAGTTTGACTTTCTTTGGGCCATTGTGATATTTCTGGTTTGGAAACACTAAATTGTTTAACTTCCATTTTTTGTTGAATAAGGACAATTCTTTTCTAAATGAAGGATTGGGAAATAATGAACCTTTGGAAAAGGGGTACATGATATTAGTAAAACTCAAAGTTGAAAATGTCTGAATGTATAGAAGATATCTATATGGCTCATTAGCTCATCTTGCATGGTAGTTTATATATATATGTATATATGTATATATATAAAATATTTTATTTACCAATTGTGTGGCTTTGGTTTATGTTGTATTTGTGGGTGTAATGTTGCACTAAATGGTGATTGTATTGCTAGTATAGTATTGCAACTTTAGATTTTGCTCTTTTAATGCTTTTCTAAACAACTTACTTCAGCATACGTTAGTGTATTTTTAAGCAATTAAAGAAAGGAAACTTACTGGGCTTCTAATGTTATATGCTTGAACACATAGACTAGGTTCTTTATTTTTCATCTTATTTGCACCCAATTGTCTTGTCCGAATGGTTTGTTTTCTCTGTATCTTTAAGCTTCTTTAATTATTTTGTTGGGAAACCATGCTTTTGTCAGAAGAGCTAAACACAAACTTCTGACAGATACTTGGCAAAAGAATTGAAAACAAGCTTCCATTGGGTTCTTAGATCTGCCAACAATTTGGCAGATGGCTTAGTAAAGCAAGGAGTAGGCCAGATATTGTGGTGCCTAGGCATTTCTATGTAACAATCTTATTCTTTGTATCAATAAATAAAGTTTCAGTTACAGAGAAAAAAGCCATGCTTTTGTCAGGTTAGAGTATGAACAAAAACGGGACATGGAGTCACCGATCATGAAACTGGAATCTTCTCTTGATGCTTTAGACAAAGAGTTGAAACATGTACAGAAGAAAGATGCAGAAGCCAGACTAGTGACGGAGAAAGCTACAACTGAGATAGATGAGTTGAAGAAAAAAGTTCTGGGTACAGTTCCAGTTCATTTTCTTTCAATATCACAGTGTAGGGATGGTTTGTTTGTTCCCAGGGAAGTAGGATTATATTGGTAGTACCTGTTTTATGTTTTCATTTATAGACTCTGTCATTTTATTTTAATGAGATGTTGTTTTGTTTGAAACCATAATGGTGAAGCTATTTCTTTCTTGCCATACAGAGTGGAAGTCTAACTCAGATGACTGTGAGAAGACCATCCAAGAATTGAAGAAGCAATCTTCTAGTGTTGCAGCAAGTGTAGGAAAACTGAGCCGTCAAATAAATTCCAAGGTAAGATCAGAAGGCTGATGTTCTACTTCAATATTATTGTAAACAAACATTAATCTTTGAATATTCATGGGCTTAAGAGTATGTTTTGCATTACAGGAGGCACAAATTGAACAGCTAAGATCACGGCAGCAAGAGATACTGGAGAAATGTGAATTGGAGCAGATAAAACTTCCTACTTGCTCTGATCCAATGGAAACAGGAGAACCATCACAGGATCTGGTTTTTGATTACAATCAGCTTAGCAGATCCTATTTGCAGGACATGAGACCCTCTGAGAGGGAAAAACTTGAGGTGGAATTCAAGCAAAAGATAGATACTTTGATATCAGAAATTGAAAGAACAGCTCCCAATACAAAGGCAGTGGAGCAGTATGAGTCCCTACAGAAGAAAGAGAGGGCCGTAATTGAAGAGTTTGAAGCAGCCAGGAAGGAGGAAAAAGAGATAACTGATAAGTACAATGCAGTAAAGCAAAAGAGGTATAATTCTGAGTTTGAACTGGTTCTGTATTCATCACTTACCATTAATAGCTTTATTTATTATAGAAGAGAAATCTGTACAAGAGGTATGTGCCTAGAACCTCTTAGAAATATAGGACATCTCCTGCTGCCTACCACTGATTACATCATATATTCTTTTAACTTCATCAAACAGTTCCTAGGGGAAGATAATTCCCCAGTACAAATGTTCATTTTGTACTCCTTGTTAATTAGCTCATCAGTTAGCCTATTTGTTGATTATTGAACCTAAGGATGTTCTCTTATGATGCTTCTGTACTGCCTAGTGCCAATGCCCCAAGTTGATCTTTTGGTGCCACCCTACAACTACCTTTGAATCACCTTCTACCAACAGATTACTATAATACAGAGATCTTTCCAACCTCAATCCATGTAACAATGCCAATAGTTCAGCCCTTGTTAATTCCCCCGCATCAATAGGTCCACAGTATATGGCTAATGAGTCACCATTGCAATTTCTGAGACATGATCAGTGCAGGTAATGAGTTTCAGGAGCTGATTGATGGTCTTGTCTTTGCTGCCATTTATAACCACCTCTTAAATAACAAGAAGTTTGCAGTAACTTTGTCAGCTAGGTCATACTTTCAATAATTTGGACCTTTTTTTCTTTATTACTGTTTTCCTTTCATAATTCCAGACTCTTACCAGGGGTGTTTATTCAACCTCCTAGGTATTCCCATATTCACCACATTTTTAGATTCCATCCATGGACTTAGCTTATACTTATACTTTGTAGATTCTTAACTGGTAATTGTTTCAAACTTTTTTAATACTTTTCTGATATCGGATTGGATTTGAATCAGGGTATATCCGAATCCAATCCGAAACTATGAACAACAGATTTGATCCGATCCAAAGACCCAATCGGATCCGATCCGAAGATTTGAATTCGATTCCAATGAGGAAGTTGGATATTCGGATCTGATTTAATTTTAAAAAAATTAATAAGTTATTAAAAGAAAAATAAAATATAACAATTTAAATAAAGAAAAAATAAAAAATACAAGTATCTTTTCAACTATTTTCATCATATATATGCATGTTTTTTATAAAAAATAAATAAATAACATATATATGTGTTATATATTTATCTAAATAAATAAATAACATATATATATATATATTTACATGCATGTTATTTTGTCTTGCTCCTGGTGGAGATTGTAATCCCGACTGCTCTTCAGACTGCCTTCTTGGGTCTGAATTGCAGTTTGTCTTTGTTTCTCTGTGTTGAATAAAATTTCATTACCTTTTACAAAAAAAAATAACACATATATTTTTGATAGGAAGCAATAACTTTCATTAGTTAAAAACCAGAAGTACAATTGTCACCTACTAAAGTGAAAGGTGACCCCTGAACAAAAAACAACTTACAACACTGCCCAAAACAAAACCTCCCGATTCATCCCTTGCTTTGCTAGGTTGTCAACTAAAGCATTTTCTGGCTTCCTAGTCCAATAAACTTGTGCACTCAGCTCCCTTGTGAGGCTCAATAATTCCTTACAGGTTGTCTAAGGTACCATGTTCCCAAACTATTCGATTGCAGCCAACCTAGTACTAATTTTGAATCTCCCTCTACTTCTAGCTTTTGAAAGCCTAATTGCTTGGCCAATCTGAGCCCCTTGGAGGAGAGCCAACACTTCAGCTCTAAGCGAGTCCCCCAAACCTATTGGACTAAGAATACATAGCCAGGATTTTTCCTCCTGCATCTCTAAACACACCCCCTATATATATCGGATCATATCCTCTTGGATCGGATAGGGGTGATCCAAATTCGACCCGATTTCTGATCGGATCCTATTATCTGATCCGATCCAATATAAAGATCCGAAATGGGGATATCCGAATCCGACAAAATAGGTTCGAACTTCGAATTGGATTGGATCATGATTCGATCCATTTGCACCCCTAGACTATAGTTGACAATTTATTGTTCTTGTTAAACATTAGCCGTTTTACCTACCTGTCATAGTTAAAAGTTCACCTCTAAATTATGTTCGGTTTTGAGTCACTTTATCAAACATTGTTAACTTGCCAAAGTCTGTTATTGGCCTAAATGACTTGGGGGCCATTCCTAGATTTTCCTTTGATGTTGTAAACATAGTTGTCAAGGAGCCCGTCTAGGTGACTAGGCACTTTTCAAAGTACGCCTCACTCAAACGCCAGGAAAAACTATGTTAGGCGCAATGTTTTAAAACGTGGAGGCGTGATGTGAGGCGTTCCACTACCTAGAGGCGCGAGGCGTAGTTCAGAACGCAAGAGGTGTAAGCCTCCCAAACACATCCCTAAGAGGAGGGGGGTTAGGAGGAGGAAGGGGAGGAGGATGAAGAGGAAGGGGGGATTTCATTTTTTTCTTTATTTTTAATAAAAATCTTTTATATTAAGAAGCTGTTCCCTGATGAACTGCTTGTCAATTTCAATGTGTTTTGCTTGGTCATGAAGAACATGGTTTTCAACTATGTTGGTTGCTGCTTCATTTTCAGAATAAAGTGACATAGGGCTGCCCACAACAAATCCTAGATCTCCTAATAAGTTCTTAATCCATAGAATTTTTGCAACCCCATGTGCCATGGCCCTGTACTCTACTTCAGCACAAGATCTAGCATCAACATTTTGCTTTTTGCTTCTCCATGTTACCAAATTACTTCCTACAAAGGTCCAATTTCTACTGGTGGACTTCTTGTCATCAATAGACCCAGCCTAGTCTACATCATTGTACACCTCTACTCTCATATACCATGTTTCGTTACCAGTAAATCCTTCCTTGGGTGTTATTCAAGTACTTGAGTACTCTTTCTGTAGCCTCATGGTTGGAAGTGTTGGGCTCATGCATATCTTGACTGGGTGCCCCTACTACATAGTTTGTCTTGTTCAGTCATTGGCAGGTACAAAAAGTCTCCCTACTAGTCCTTGAAATTGCTTAGTGTCTAGTAAAATCTCAACATTGTCATTACGTAGTCTATGGTTCACCTCAATAGACATGTTTGTTGGCTTTGCCCCCAGCATACTAGTATCTTGGAGAAAATTGAGAATATGTTTCCTTTGAGAAATAAAAATACCCTTATTTGAATGGGCAACCTCAATCCCAAGGAAGTAATGAAGTGGATCTAGATCCTTCCCCTCAAACTGTGGCTAGGAAGTCCTTCAATTTTTGTATTTTAGAAATCTCAATTTGCAATGATAATAACATCATCTACATAAACTATTAGAACAACAGTTTTACTTTGATCCCTCTTGACAAAGTATGGTCAGACTAGCATTGTTTGACCCTATCTGCTGAATTGCCATGTAAGAATATACTGAACCAAGCTCTAGGTGATTGCTTTAACCCATATAGAGATTTCCTTAATCGACATACCCTGTGCTGACTTCCCTTGACCTGAAATTGAAGAGGTTGGATTATATATACTTAATCTTCCAAATCTCCATTCAAGAAGGCATTCTTGATGTCTAATTGATGGAGATTCCAATCTAGATTAGCAACCAATGATATTAGAACTCTAATAGAATTTATCTTAGCCATTGGAGTAAAGGTTTCAACATAATATACTCCATACACCTATGTATATCCCTTGGCAACTAGCTTGGCCTTATACCTCTCCACTGTCCTAGTTGTTTGATGCTCCACTAAGAATACCCATGTACACCCTCTTGGCTCCTTACCTTTAGGAAGATCAACAAGTTTCCAAGTATTGTTTTTGTGAAGAGCTCTTATTTCTTCTCTCATTGCATTTTCCCATTCAGGAAACATTAAAGCCTCTACAAGGTATAAAATGAAGGGGAAACACTATCGTAAGGCATTTAGTGAGCAATGGGATGCTTGGTGGTACAAGATTGGCACCCTTACATTTGGCAATAGGAATGTCAAGATCATCAACTGGAACATCAACAACAATGGGTTCGGGAATATCAAAGGGAACAAGTATACCTGATTGGAAAGGAATTATCTTTAGTGAACTTGATGATGTCGGTTGCACAATCTCAGTTCTCTACATCTGTTGAACTTTGTTGGACCTGCTGAACTTGCCTATTCTCTAGACTAGCACTTGTCTGTCCTTGAGGAGAGCCAGGGAACAAAGACTGGCTCTCAAAGAATGACAGATCCATCCTTAGAGACTAAATACTTTTGGACACCGGGTCAAAGCATTTATACCTCTTCTAAGACGAAGGATAGCCAAGGAAGACACAAAGAAAAGCTTTTGGATCCAGTTTTTCACAAGGGGGAGATAATGGACAAATCAATGATAACCAAAGGCATAAAGGGGTGCAGAAAACGGGTACTGAGGGAACATCTGATGGGGGCCCTATCTTGCAATATTTGGGAGGGCATACAAGAACAACATCAATCCAAAGCCACTTTGGAACAGTCATGTGTAACATCAACCCTTGGTCTATCTCAAGTAGATGTCAGTTCTTTCTCTTTGCAACACCATTTTGTTGTGGTGTTCTAGCACAAGAACTCTAGTGGAGAGAACCACATAAAACAAAATAAAAAATCATTAAAATCACTGTGGAAATATTAGATTGAAAAATTTTGGATCTCAACATGAAATTGTGTGAAAATCATACGTAGAAAATCTTTAACAAGTTTTGGAACTTCTTCTCTACAATGGATAGGATATATCCAAGTATATTTGGAGAAGTCATCAATAAAACTGATAAGGTACTTATAACCACCCTTAGAAGTCATAGATGTGGACCCCCAAATATTAGACTAAACAATATAAAAAGGAAAAAATTTGCTCTTTTATTATTTGAATGAAATAGTTCTACTATGTTTGCTTAGTTGGCATGTCTGGCATTGTAAAGAAGGAATAGAAATAGATTTAAACAACTTTGGAAATAATATTTTCAAGCACTCAAAAGACAAGTGACCAATACGGTTGTGCTACAAATAAACTTGACTTTTATTGGATTGACTCATGGAACTACTGGACTTAGATGCTACAACATTAGCTTTATTCAAAGATTGACCAATCTTCTTGGAGGTCAAATCTTGGAACACATTTTCAAAGATTTTATGATACTACTGATAGACAACATGAAGGACATTAGTAAGGGCTAGGCCATGGGGAAGAGATACTTGACCAGCAATGGTTGAAAAAGTCCCATATACTAGTCTTACTTTATCCCTAACATTAGCAAAAAGACTATTGAATGGAAAAGATTAGACTCACCAGTCATATGATTAGAAGCCCTTAAGTCAATAATCCAAGGGGATTTAGTAGCATGGGTGGGCACATGGAAAGCAGAGGCAATGTTACATAATGTAGATGCAAAAGAGGTAGGAGTAGAAGCCACACCATCCATCTGATGAAGTGCTCTACTGTAGAACTCCAGATGTTGTCTGAAGTAGCCAATCCCAGATGTTCTCCTTTTGTCTGCCTTAGCGCTTCTAGCCTTTTCAACCTGCAACAGATCGCTTCTTGAGGGTGCTGTAGATGGTCTTCTATGCATGCAATTTTAGTCTACTTTCTCTCATTTTATCACCTATTAGAGCTACTTCTAGGTTCCTTTGAATGACTTCCTCACTACTTTCTTGAATGCCCAGCATTCTCTCCATACAGCATTGCTGGCCTCACTATTCTTTTATAGAAATTTCCTTTTGTTAATTGTCGTTAACAGATCAATATAGATAGCTTTGTCTATGTAGTTAGTTTCCTCTAGTTTATATGAACTGAAATTATTTCGGGAACATATATTTTAATACAGGAGGGCAGATGAGGTTTATGCCTAGGAGTCTGCTGGGATCAGTTTGTCTTTAATTCTTTTTGCCTGAAATGTCTACAAAAATTTTAGTATTGCTATTGATTTATTATTGAAATTAAGGAATATGTTTTGGTTGATGCAGGTATGAGTTGTTCATGGATGCTTTCAACCATATCTCCAGTAATATTGACAAGATTTACAAGCAACTCACGAAAAGCAACACACTCCCGCTGGGTGGAACAGCATATCTGAACCTAGAAAATGAGGATGACCCTTACTTACATGGCATCAAGTACACTGCAATGCCCCCAACAAAGCGATTCCGTGACATGGAACAACTATCTGGTGGGGAGAAGACTGTTGCAGCACTTGCGTTGCTCTTCTCTATTCATAGGTACACTTCTCAGAGAATAAAAACACAAAATGATCTACGGTATAACAGGATACTCTGGCTTGTAACTTACACAACTTCTATCTCCCCTTATTGGCTCTCCAAGTCCTACACGGACTAATAGGAAAATCTAAGCCAACTGCCTTCTCTGTTAGCTAGTGTATATGTACCACTGTCACAGTGGAACCACATTCCGTCACGAAAAATTGCCATATTTCCAGGAGCTTACAGATAATCTTTGTCAACTTTTCAGTTACCGGCCTTCTCCATTCTTCATATTGGATGAAGTTGATGCTGCATTAGATAATTTGAATGTTGCCAAGGTTGCTGGATTCATTAGGTCAAAATCTTGTGATGGAGCTAGGAGTAATCAAGATTCTGATGGTGGCAGTGGTTTTCAGAGTATTGTTATCTCACTGAAGGATAGCTTTTATGACAAGGCTGAAGCATTGGTTGGAGTCTACAGGGATTCAGAGAGAAGGTGATCCATTTCTTTTTCCTTATTTTTCGTGATAGCTTGCAACTGCAATGGGATTTGCAACTTAATGGTTGCAGTGCAGTAAGTTTACAAGGTTTAGCTGTGCTAAAGGTGACTTACTGATGCTTTAATGTTTACAGCTGCTCAAGAACATTGACATTTGACCTGACCAAGTACCGGGAGTCATGAAACCATTGGTGAAGGCTGCGGTAGGTTGTAAAAATTGTTGCATTGAAGTAAGTCAAATGCTTGAGTCCTCGTAATCAATTGTTTCTGTAAATATCTTCTGTGAATTGTATGTTAAGAAGCTACTCTGTCAATAGGATATTGAAACAGTAGTGTAAAATCATCAAGCTACAACTAGGTACTCCCCCTTTTTTTTCTTTTAATCTAATCATTAAATTATATGGTCTGTACTTTACTCTCCGCGTCCAGAACTCCAAGAAGACTGGCAGTGATGTTGCCAAAATGTTACTTTGAAATGTTCTAGGCTAAACTGAATTGACTGATCCTGCTCCCATCTGTTGCCACGCGTTTGACACAAATGTTGGTGGTTATCTTTCCTTTCCTACTCTGGTATCCCCTTTATGAATGTAATCAGCCCTTTTACAGTTTTACCCAAATACTGGCATATCGCCCCATACGTTACTAGCAAAGTTGGTAATCAGTCTGCGTCATGTAAAGTCACATGCTTGTAAAAAGAAGCTTCCGGAGCTGGATTGAGGCCATCTTTGGAAGTGCTCAAGTGCTTAAAAACAAGTATTTATTCGAATAAATTCTTATTTGCATTTGGCAATCAACTTTTTAAGTGTTTATTTTTTAAAATAAGCACTTATTTTATATTGGGTGTTTGGTTGTCTTTTCTTTAATAAGTACTTAAATTAAGCATTTGTGACTATTGTCTTTCATTTTTTTTTCAAATTTTCAATATATACCCTTTGAAAGTAGTTTTAAAAAAGTACTTTTATAAAAGCATTTTTATAAAAGTATTTTTATGAAAGCATTTTTATAAAAGTATTTTTATAAAATGCTTTTATAAAAGAACTTTCATAAAAGTGTTTTTGTAAAAGTATTTTTATAAAAATGTTTTTGTAAAAGTATTTTCATAAAAGTGCTTTCATAAAAGTATTTTTATAAAGTTTCAACTAGGGATAATTTTATAATTGGTATTTTAAAATTCAAATATGGATAATTTTGGAAGAAAAAAAATTGAACAAGTGCTTATTGTATAAGTATTTAAAAAAGCTGGAAATTTGGGCTTAAAAAATAAACCCTTATTTTTAAAATAAGCCCTGATGTCGAGTTTTTTCTTATGCGGAGTGTTATGGTCCCACGCACAGGATCCAGTCACGGGCCGGTCTACGGTGCGAAAGCCCTGCTTCCCCTTGCGCCTTCCCTTGCGTGCAGACCCTATTGTGGAAACTGAATGGGTGATTTGTCCAAGAGACCACCCGAACTCTCTTTACTATTTTCTTGGTTGGAAAACTGAATGCTTTTATTTCAATTCGTAGCTTTTTAAATAAGAGATTACAGAAGGGAATTCCTAATTAAACTCAAACTTCAATTTGAACTCAAACTCCTAATTACCTACTCCTAATGGTAACTCACTCTTACTCCACTAAGAATACCCATGTACACCCTCTCCACTGGCGGCGAGTTGGCTTGACGTGTCCAGATAAGGGTGGATTCACCCTTATGAGCTGTCGTGTGGGCCTCGTTCTGCTGCTGTTGCCGGGTGCGTGCATGTGGCTCATGGTGCCGCTGTCGTGCGGTGTGTGCGTGCAGTGCTGCTACTGTGCAGTGCGTGCATGCACCTCATGGTGCCGCTGCCGTGCGGTGCCAGGCGTGTGTGCGGTGCGCGTTGCTGCCTGGCGGTGCGTGCTGCGCGCCATGGTGCCGCTGTCGTGCGGTGCTGGGCGTGTGCGTGGTGCGTGCGGTGTGCGCTGCTGCCTGGCGCAACAATCTGCTGTGCAGCGCTGCTAGGCGGTGTCTGCTGCTGTGCGGCCTGTTGTGCGTGCTGCTGCTTATGATTGCGTCGCAGTGCGTTGCCGGATGGTGTGACCATAACACGGAGCAACTGAGGTAGAGGGTGGCTCGATTTGGCTCAATTCTCATTTAAAGGGTGACTGTGACGACTGGTGCTGAAAACCGGCGGAGGCCCTCTTTTTGTTGCGTAGTTTAATGTTATTTATTTCAAAATTAATAATCCTAAATGAAAAAAGTTTGGAAAATTTATGACATCTGAATGGATTAATAACCCCTGATTGGCCATCTATTTTTATGATGCCTCTAAGTTTTCCTTGTCACATCTTTTTTATGATAAGGCTAATTTATTCAACTTAGCATTTGATGATTTTATGAGGAAAAAATTGGTATTATAATATGTTTAAATCCATGACATCAGGGGGTGTTGTTAGATTTCTAACGGTAAAGTAACAGAAGGGGTCTATAAGTCCCTTTATTCCCAAAATTGAGGGGAGGTTTAAGGTCTTTTTAGAAAATTAAATGGAGGTTTAAGGGATTTACCCTATTATTTTGGTACCTTTGGTCTTTGATAATCCAACAAGGTATTTTAAGTAACAACATTTTTACTTGGATAAATTACAGATGGGTACCCTATACTTTGGGGATAGTGTCAGATAGGTACCTTGGACTTTCAATTGTAACATTTGAGTACCTTGAACTCTCAAAAATAGACACTTGGGTCCATCTCCATGGTATTTCATCAGTTAAACATTATATAATGTCAAAAATACCCTTCTCGTGTATTTCGGAGATCATTCATAGGTAGTAGAACGTCTTCCCACGATGACGTTCTCACATGGATGGCAAATAACAGATTCAAATTTTTGGCAATGGTATTCTCTGGTGGTGATTTTACTCCTTAGAATGATCTCAAAAATACACAAAAAGGGTATCTTTGACATTATGTAATGTTTAACTGACGGAATTCTAACTAGTAGACCCAAGTGTCTATTTTTAAGAGTTCAAGGTACTCAAGTGTTGCAATTGAAAGTAAATTCAAAGTACCTATCTGTCATTATCCCCAAAGTCCAAGGTACCAATATATAATTTACCCTTTTTACTTTAACCATGATTTTGGGAAGGGTGGTTGTTTATATTTTATAAATGAAAACCTAATATCTTAAATAAAATAGGGTTAATCACTTAAAAGTACCCCCAAGTATCTGACGATTACTCAAATTACTCCTAAAGTTTCAAAACCTACTCAAAGTATCTTGAATTCTCATAAATTCAATTTTCGTTAGCCTGTTGAATTAATAAAGTGATTATTTTATCCTTAACTGTTCATCAAATTTTCAAAATATACCAACAATAATCTAAATTGCAAACCAAACCCAGGATTCACGTAACTGGTTAGGGTTATTCTTCTATACTCCATTCCAAGCAAGTATTGAGTGAATTCTCACAAATACAACAGTAGTTTTGATTTCATTCATGTGTATATATTGTTACAGAGTAATATAGTTTGTGTAGGGTTTGAAATTCAAAGTTTGATGGTTACAATGACTGTTGAAAATGTAAATGTAAGTTATGTAACTGTCAGTCTGTCGCATGAGAACAGTTACGTAATGGTATCAGGAGGAGATTCCTCTCCAACATCCCTTGCAAATTGAACACACCGGTTACCGGGAGAGGTCCAATTTGTTTGAAAGTAGTTGGAAACGGGCTCAAGGGAGATTCTTAGTCAATAGATCAACAAGCTGGGTAGTGGTGGAAATGTACCAAACATCAAAGAGCTCGTTAGGCAACCTTATCCCACACAAAGCGGAAATCCACCTCAAGATGTTTAGTTGGGGAGTGGAATTTAGGGTTAATTGTCAGATAGGTTGCTGAGAGATTGTTACACCAGATTTGTGGATACGAGTCAAAGTTGTGATGGAAGACTTGATGGCAGCACTATCAGATCCGGTGATGATGATATTGTAAACGTAATTAAGGACGTTAAGTGAAGTGTCTGTTTTGGAGCCAAGAAATCCCAATGTAAGTAAGAATGTGGAGACCCATCATCATGTAAAAAAGCATTTAAAACATCGAAACAGTCATGGGCCATAACTAAAGACAAGACTATCAAGCGTATAGTGGTGAGCTTGATGACTGCATAGAATGTCTCTTTGTTATAAGGCCTGCACTTTGATGGAACTCTTTAACTACAATATGGGTTTTATGTCCTTCGATGGACCCATTAACCTATTTTTTGACTTTAAAAACCCATTTATAATCAATAACATTTTCGGGAGAGCGAGGTGGGATTACATATCTGTATCCCACGGAGGGCGTCCTGCAAATGCCCCACATGTATATCTCAGCATGCATTGGGAGTATTTCTCGAAATTGTCATTAGGAGATGTTCTCAATACATACATGGTTGAGATATGCTGTAGGACATTTGTGAGGCGTTCTCTGTGAGGTGCAGATGTGAATTCGGGACTAGAACCCACGTACCATTTTTTATAAGGGCATGATACTCATCCAACATGGCATTGCGTCACTCTGGATATTTGGCTACTCATCCAACATGGCATTGAGATCGTGTGGCTAGAGGTAAGGGGGTGATTGGTGGAGGTATAAAGTTTAGGTTTATAAATGCCGGATTGAGATCGGGTCTTGATGATATGGATCTTAATAGGGGAACTAGGTCTGGGGGCTAGTAGGACACAAAGAGGGTCAATTGATTTTGAAAGAAGAGATGGGGATGGTGGGTCAGGTGGGGCCAATGGGTTGGGTTTGACTAATTATGGGTTCAAGGAAGGATGTACAGATAAACATGAGAATCACTATGGGCCGTACCCAAACAGTAGTACCTTGGGTTGAATTCTCAGTTGGAGAGGAAGATGATGAGACAAAAATTGAAAGAAAAAAATTATAACAATTTAAATAAAGAAAAAACAAAAATATAAGTAACTTTTTAATTATTTTTATCATATATATACATGTTTTTTTTTAATAAAAAATTAATAATATAACTAATTTACAAAAATGCAAAGGTTCTGAATCCCATTAGATTTAAGATGTAAAGGGAAAAGTCATATATTTACTATAATCATCAATAAAGAGTATATAATGATGAAAACCTTCTATTTGAAGGCGAAGGTTCTGAATCCCAAACATCAGTATAGATGAGGTCAAGTGGTGCTGTACTAATAGATGTAGAAGTAGGGAGTGACAACCGTTTTGCGCTCTCCATACACCTTTTCAGTTCATCAGTTCATCAGTTCATGGTTTTTAAAATTGGATCGGACCAGATGGTTGGACCGGAAAAATCGGGAACCGGTTAGGTGATTGGTTTTGCTTTTTCCAAAAACCGAATTTCTCTTCAGAACCGTTGATTTTGGTCAGCGGATCTTTGAACCGAGTGATTAACCGTTCGAACCGTTTGAACAGTTTTGACCATTATTTATTTATTTTTTATTTTTTTTATCAGAATAAGCCGAGCATTCAATTCGAACAATCGGACTGTTTGACCCGGTAACCAGACTCCTAACCGATTCGATTTTAAAAAAAAAATGTTTTTTTTTTCTTCTTTTTAAATTAAAATGTGTCATGTGATGTCATATCTAAACGACAATTAATGGAAGAATAGTATGTGTTATACAGTTTTGGGGATATCTTAAGTAGGCTATCAAACTTTTGGGGTACTTCAACTAATTGTTAGATAGTTTAGGGGTTTTAAGTAATGAAAACATATGAAAGTGATATAGTGAATACCATGGTTTTTAAAACCGAACCAGTGACTGAATTGGTCAGGGGTCCGGTTATCCGTTCAAACAGTCCGATCGTTTGACCCGAATGGCCGGCCCATTCTGACAAAAAAAATTAAAAAATTTGAAAAACGGTAAAAAAACAATCAAAACCATTTGAACGGTTCAAATGGTTAATTGACCGGTTCAGCGGTTTATTGACCAAAATCAATGATTTTGGGGGAAAAAATGGATTTAGGGAAAAATGGAACCGATCATGTGACTGGTTCCCGGTTTTTTCAATCCGACCATTCGGTCCGGTCCGGTTTTGAAAACCATGGTGAATACTCATTTTCCCTCAGTTGTAGCAGCTAGCATTTATAATAATCACCTATTAGGCGGATCTCTAAACATTCTTGCAGATTGTAGAGAATTGTTACAGACTATCTCCCAATTCTCAGTTCTTCATGCTAATAGACGTTGTAATTTGGTGGCCCATAAATTGCCTGCTATACTATGAAGTTTCCTCGACCTTGTATACTTGGTTGATGCATCGGTTCCAATTGAGTGATAAATGAATTTGCCTTTGGCATAAAAAAGTCTCCAAAATTTAGTTTATATTATAATTGTATATTAGAGAATGAGCCCTAGTACTAAGGGGTTAGTATTCTGAATTTTCTTTTATGAAAAAATTTATGATGCGGGAAAGACATGGTACTAAAATAGCTTTGACCAATTAAAACTTGCTCGTGAATTTTGATAAAAACTACTTAATTGGTTAACATATTTATGATATTGGTTGATTGGTCACAAGTTTTTTGGATATCATGTCTTTCTGGTATCATAGTTGAACCTTTTTTTATTCATGTATTTTGATAAATTTTGTTTGATACTTATTTTTTATGTTGTAAATTTAGGTTATTATTTTATTTGATGTTTTTGATATATAAATTTGTTATTTAATTTAAGAGATTAATCAAGTTTTATTTAATTTCTAAATAATAATCCACTTTATGGATCTACATTATTTAAATGAATTTAATTTTTTGTTTTCTTTTTGATGGAGTAACTACCACTTACATTTTTGACAGTAGATTATTTGAAGCTTATACATTTTTTTTGGAGTGGATAGACACATGTCTTAAGAATGAAGATTTTGTTTGAAAGTAGTAATAACCACTTTTAAGATGCTCTTTCTTGAAAAAATAAGGTGGTGTTTGGGATCAATGCCAATTTCTCAAAAATTGATGCCACATAAACGATTCCAAAATCGCCAATTATTTTGATTTTTGGTTCGTTGATTTCTCAAGTCATCAAAGATCAATTAAAATCGGGATGAAACGAGGAATCACCAAAAATGATGATACACCACTTTTGAAATACAAACTTATAACCGATTTCTTGGTTGGCAATAACAACAATGGTACCAATCAAACAATTTCTCTTAATTCTGATAAACCAATGACTTTTGAAAACTCTCATAGAAATTACTGTCGATCCCAAATATGAGTTCACATCTGCCCCCACAGAATGCGCCCCAAAATGTCCCACATGCACATCTCAACGTGTATTGAGAACATCTCCCCTATTTGTCTTTGAGAGATGTTCTCAATATACAGTTGGGATGTGCTGGGGAATGTTTTTGGGATGCTTTTGTGGGGGCCAGATGTGAACTCCCCAAACATCATCTAAGATGCTAGTGAGAGAGAAAAGCTCTCTAGTTTTAGGGCTTTCCTTTAATATCTATCTATTTGTGCCTATGGTATGGACCAATAAGTGGTTGGACCGGTTTTAAGCCCCATCCAAATCTTACTCACACACATGACATAACGTTTTCTTTTACCCCAAAAGTTTCCAATTGCTGTGCCCAAATTAGTCCCATCTCACATGGATTGGCCATCTCAAGCCTAACCGTTATTTCTCTTTTCCTTTAATTTCTTGCCGGCATTACAGCCACTAATCTCACATCATTGGCGGTTGATCCCTTTGAACGTTTCAACCAAACCGTTATCCAGATTTCTCTAATTACAAAAAGATCCGTCATTTACACCCATCATTTGTGTACACGGCCTAGATTTCATGGCGCCTGGTAACCGTCGGGGGAGGTCTGGACTTCGAAACTCTTATTTGATTCACTCTCTTCTTTTCTGTCAAAAACTCCTCGTTCCGCAGGAAGAGGAGAAGAAAACATTACGATTCCTACGACCGTTTCGCTATCTACAACTCCCCAAAGAACCTCCGGTTCTCAGTATTCCGGCAGGTTCTCTTCTGGCTGCCGGAATTCTGACGGAGATGGTCTCTAGAAACAACCGTTGTATTCAATTCTGACGGAGATGGTCGAACGTAGGCTGGCGCCATGATGATGAAGAAGTCAACAAAGAAGGCGTTGCTGGAATTTAGATGCAAGCTAGAAGATGCAATCCTTGGTAATTATCTTTTGGAGGACCCCGACGGCGATGCCTCCACGGGTAAAAGCTCAGGGCCGGAGAAGGAGCTCACAATTGCCGATGTCTTAAACTTCGGGAACCCCTCACCGGAAGAGAGCCTCAGAGACATTACACTCTGGGGGGTACCGCTGTTACCCAGCAAAGGCCATGCCGGCACCGACGTTATCCTCCTCAAGTTCTTGAAAGCACGAGACTTCAAGGTTAAGGAGGCATTTGAGATGCTCCAGAGGACGTTGATATGGCGCAAGGAATTCAAGACCGAAGGAGTTCTGGAGGAAAACTTGGGCTCCGATCTCAATCAGGACTCATGCACAGGTAGTACTAGTAGTAGTAGTAGTAGTACAGAGAAGGAGGGAAGCCTCGTGTGCTACAATATTTGCGGGATATTCAATGACAAGGAGTTGTATGAAAAGGCTTTTGGGTCGGAAGAAAAATCCGAGGAGTTCTTGAGGAGGATACTTCACTCCATGGAGAATAAGGGTGCCCAGAAGCTGAGTTTTAAGGATGGAGGTGTTGATTCTTCTATGCTTCATGTTACAGACATGAAGAGCTCAGGAGGGTTGGCCAAGAAGGAATTCTGTTCCTCTTGCAAGAAAGCCTTATTGCTGTTCCAAGAAAATTACCCTGAAATCATTTTCAGAAGTGTAAGTGCTGAAACTCCATGAAAACAAAAGCATGTAATACATCAAAGATCAAATTGTGTTTTGTCATTTGTTTGGTTTCTGAAAATCTAATTAAAAATAATTCAAGTTAAGAAACTCTGCAATTTGAGAAATTTATTAATTCAGAGTGCACTGCGCATATATATATATACACATTAATTGTTACTTGAATGCTTGACTTGATTGATTCATGCTTTATTTACTTTTATGTATGATCTGATATGGTTTGGACTCAAGAATGCTGTTGGAATGATTTTTTTTTTCTTTGGGTCCAAAAAAAAAAAAGCTGCTTACGGTTCCTTATTTCCTTGGTATAATTTGCAGGTTTTCGTAAATGTTCCTTTCTGGTATTATGCTTACCACAAGCTACTTTTCCGGTATCGTGTAGCCAAAAAAACAAGAGGCAAGAATCTACAAGCTCGGTGCCCTAGAGTTGCAAAGACCCTTCTCAAGTAAGAACCTTTTCTGAATTCATCTTAACTAATTTCCACTGTCTCGTACAGATCTACAGATGTTCCTCTCATTAAATTTCAATCTTTTGTACTAATTTGCTTCATGAAAAAAGGTTAATGGACGCAGAAAACATCCCAGTTCACTACGGTGGCCTCCAAAGAGATGATGATGACGAATTTTCGCCTGAAGATGGAGTTTCAGAGCTGATTGTCAAATCAGGTGCAGTAGAGAGCATCCAAATCCCGGCTGAGGTACCTAAATCTATCACTCAAACTATGTCTGTGAGAGATGAATCTTGCCTCTTTTTTTTCCTTTTGATTTGTGTTTGGTAAGACTTAAAAAGTGAATGCAAATTTATTCAAATAGAAGGATGCATATCTGGTTTGGTTTTGCTATGAGAAATTTATGACGTCTTGTTTGGTGTGATGGGAGGTACGTGTAAATATAAATATTGAGGCTGCAGGAAGCCGGGAAGGCTGGAACTAACCTATTTTATATTAACCAACTTTGCTCAAAGTTCTTTTCTTTTTCTTTTTTTTTTTTTCCAAGAAGCTTTGCTCTCGTTTTGAATGCAAAAATGTAGAACTGTCAATGGGTCGGTTCTATCCGATAGATCCGAACTGTGAACCAATTAATTGTGGTTCTTGTTTGTTTGGATCTGACTCAACAGACCTATATAAAGTAGTATTTTTTTTTTTTGTAATTGTTATTATATATTATATGTAAAAGTGTAAATTTGATAGATAATATATTAGGTAATTTTGGTTAAATACACTTGATTTATTAATATATAAATAATTTATTATTTTACTGCCATTCATTAAGACTATTATCAAAAACCAAGTTTTAAGTAGTTGTTTATTTAAATAATTATAGCTGTCAATATAATCGGATCTAATCGGATCAGACCTGATTATTAAGCAAGACAGCTTTGGGGGACTATGATTTTGTCCTGATTAATAATTAGGAGAATGACCAATCAGCCCAAATCAGAATTTTATAATTCCATAGTACAGGGGGAATGTATCTTGACTGTGAATTGATGCTAAATTCATGGGCAGGATGTGGTTTATATGGGGGAGAGAGGGCTAGTA